GTTGTCCAAACAAAAATATGGGTCATTATCAACTACATCCTCTTATTCTGAAGTTCTTTCTTTTTAATTTTTATTGTTGGTTGTTCAAAACATTACATAGTTCTTGATATATCATATTTCACACTTTGATTCAAGTGGGTTATGAAGACACTAGTATGGCAATATGTAAATCAATGGATGTGTAACTGATGTGATTCTGCAATCTGTATATGGGGTAAAAACGGGAGTTCTATTCTGAAGTTCTATTATTGAAATATCTCAGCAATCTGTTTAGAAATAATTCTCCCATGATAAATCACCAAGACATTTCATCCAGTATTATGAATAATATTTCTACTCAGATCCAATTGGAGGGAGAATGGCCTGAAACAGGGTGAGGAAAATAATATTTTTCTCCCATATCATTTATTTGACCATGTGCATAATATGTGGAAAATTCTCCACCTCTCTAAGCTCATACTGCTTAATAGAAATGGAGACAACACCCATCTCCATGCCAGGTGTGATACCTAAAGGAACATTGAAACTTAGTAAATGTTGGGTCGCCCCGGCATTTTCAAATTAAGAATCCCATGACCATGGAAAAAGTTAGTCTAATGGGTAATAAAATTTCAAATGGCATTGCACTCTGGAGTGCTGTGGATCTTAAATGTGCTTTAGCCCCCTTCATAGTGTTTGTTTATGCCCCTCTATTTGTTTTTTTTTTTTTTTTCTTTTTCAGTCATGATAATCTCAGACATGATCTTGGAATTAAAAAAAAAATGCTGCAGGTGTTGTCCAATGGAATACAGGCCAGTATTTCTATGACATAGACAAAAATGTACCAACATAACTTGCCTCTGGTTCTACAAGACATTCCTAAGAGGTATGAAATGGCAGGCAGAAAAAGCAGAATGTGTTGAAGACACAGTGATTATGGACATTTTTATGACCCAGGGAATGATCTCTTCAATGTTTAAAACAGATTTTTACTTTTTATGCCTCTGTGACTTTGTGTAGGTTTTGTGGAATCAAAAATGAAAGAGGATTAATCATTCCTCTTCAAATATACAGCATTTACTTGCAGAAGGATAGAAATAAAAGGGCCCATTATAGAAATTTTAAAAAAATGCTGACTTCGGGTCAGAGGATATTTTAGTTGTTATGTTTCCCCTCTTACAGTATCCACCACCTCCCTGAAGTCCTCTCACCTATGAATCCATCCATGAATCACCCCACAGAGGAGGTTAGAGCTCTCGGGGACTAACCATTTCCCACCCAGCATTTCTCACCCAGAATCTGAGCACTCCTGAGCTGGCACAAAGCCCTCAATGTGTTAGTCTTTGGGGGACATTCCAGGTCCAAACTACACCACCTCCCAGCATGTGTTCACACCCAAGGTTCACCAGCAGACGTTCACATGCAAGGTACACCCACATGCATTCACATCTAAGGTCCACACAACTACACACTGTTTCTCAGTTTTCAAAATCCCATTTTATATTCCCCATTTATCCCTCCCACAAATAATGAACCATCAATCTGCTGTTAAACATCTTGATATATGTCGCGACCCCCTCGCCAGCAAGGAAGACATGACACAGGATTCTTCTTTCAGCGGTTTATTCAGGCCTTAACTCTAGTCTTCTCTCAAGCGCGCGCTCTTTCC